GACCTTCCCATCTCAGTGTGGTCAAGGCCAGGCAAGGTCCACTTGTCCCTGGGTCTCCCCTTTGTTTCTCCAGGCAGTGGAAGGGGGAAGTAACACTGCTTCTCTACCCCCAGGCTTTCTGAATTGTGGCTAATTCTGTTCTTATGTGCAACTATGCTGACCGCGATGCCAGGTTGGTGGAGCTCAAGGTGGCCCACAGAAGGGGTGGATGGGGGTGGGGTCTTCCCCTTCCTAGCCTTTCAGGATGCAGTGGCAGCTGCTGCCCGTTGCACCCTGCCTGGCCTCGCTCTGCATCCAGCTCCTCCTCACAATGCTGGAATGTGCCAAAGGAGCTTGGTGCAGAGCGGGGCCAGGCAGGATGCAATGGGCAGTAGAGACGGCAAAAGCGTGGTGCTTCCCTGGCACCAGAGGCCACTGACCACCCCACCTGGCACAGCCGCATCCAGTGGGAAGACAGAGGCCCACCCCTTGGCACGTGTATTGGCTGTCAGGACATGTGGCTAATTGTCCCACACTGCGAATTGCCCGGGGACAAGTGTCCCTCAGCAAATCACCCATGATGAGGGGGTGGGGGAGGAGCACCAGTGGACCAGTGGTGGGGGAGGAGTGCCAATGGAGGACCAGCCATGGATGAACGCCCACGAAGGTTCAGCTGTGGCAGGGGGCCCGGGTAGAAGTGAGCATGGCCATGTGGCCATGGCTAATTATCCCATTCCGGCCCCATGTAGAGCGCACTACAATAGTCCAACTGTGAGATGACTAGGGACTGAACGACTGAGCACAGGGAATCCTGATGCAGTAAAGGCAGGCACTGGCGCACAATATGAAGTTATGCAAAGGCTCTCCTAGCCACGACTGCCACCTGCTCCTTGAGCAGGAGTCACGAGTCCAGGAGAACCCTGAAGTTGCAGACTGGCTCTGTCTGGGGCAGTGCCACCCTATCCAGGGTCAAAGATGACAAAGTCCCAGACCCTGGAGCCCTGTGTACCCAAAGCCATTCGGTCTTGCCAGGGTTCAGTTGAAGCCTGTTGTCCCGCATCCAGGCCCCCACAACCTCCAGGCACCATGACAGGGCAGCCATAGCATCACTTGGGTCACCAAGAATGGAAATATATAGTTGGGTGTCATCAGCATACTGTAGATACCTCAACCTGTGGTGACAGATGATCTCACCCAGCCGTTTCATTTAGATGTTGAAAAGGAGTGGAGAAAGTACCGAGCCCTGCAGCACACCACAAAATAGCAGTCAAGGGCTGGACCTCTCACTCCCTATCGACATCGATTAGGACTGGCCACAGAGAAAGGAGACAAACCAGTGCAAAACTGTGCTGCCCAGCCCTAGTCCCCATAGCCAACCCAAAAGGATACCATGGTTGATGGTATTGAAAGCCGCTGAGAGGTCAAGGAGAGTGAGGATGGTTGCACTACCTCCATCCCGCTCTCGCCAGAGATCATTGATCATTGACAAGCATGACCAATGCTGTTTCCATCCCATAATTGGTCCTGAATCCTGACTGAAAGGGGTCCAGATAATCTGTCATTTAATTTGATTTTAGCATAGAAATTATTTATTTATTATTGTGGTTTTAGTATCGCCTGTTCACCGCCCTGAGTCCCGTAAGGGAGATAGGGCGGTATATAAATTTAATAAATAAATAATAATAAATAAATCTGTTTCATCCAGGACCCTCTGCAGCTGCCAGGCCACCACCTTTTCCACAACCTTCCCTAGAAAGAGGAGGTTGGAAACTGGAGGGGGCAAACCAGAGCTTTCTTAAAAGCATCCAGAAATGTCCCCTCCTCTAATGATGTATTAATCACTGCCTGGACCCACCCACTAGTCACCATCCTGGAGACTTTCACCATCCAGGAGGGACAAGGATCTAACTGACAGCATCAAGGGCCCTGTCCACTTCATTAGGGCCAACAGGATCAAGACGTTCCCAGATATCATTCACAAATGGCAAATAAATCGGACTCCAATCAAACAGGTGCACACTTATTAATACCTTGGAGTGCAATTTCATACCTTCTTATCCTGGCATGCTCATTTTTCTTACTGGGCAAGTGCTGCACAACTATTGTAAGATTTTACCATTCAAAAGGAGCCCATTATGATACTGCAGCCTGCAAGGTCTTTCAAGCTAAGGTAGTCCCACAGCTTTTCTATGGCTCCCAAATTTACTCCCTTACAAAGCTCAATATTATCAAAATCATCCAAAATAAGTTTATTAGAGCCATTTTGATGGTCCCAAATACTGTCAAAAATGCAATTTTACGTTTAGAAGCAGGCATAGTTTCGATGGATGTCAGAGCATGTTTTTTTCTTCTTACCTTCTGGCTAAAGTTAATGCTACTCCCTATAGGTTTGGTCTCATTAGTATTTAGAGATCACTTTAAATCATCATAGCTTTAAAAAAAAACCTAAATGAAATTCAGTTGCTGGGCTTCTGCACATAAATTTTGTGCATATTAGGCTTTTATAATGCTAGAACTGCCCTTAAGCAATGAATCTGGGATATAGATTTTCAAACAAACCTAAGTAAGGTGTCACACCCCATTATTTATCATTTGCTCCCAAAAGGGTCCCTTTCAGCTGCATATTTATCATCCATTCCAATTTTAAAATTTTGTTAGGCCTTCACTTTATCCAGGTTGGATATTATATGCCCTCAGCAGTCCATCTTGGATATTTTAAGGGTAGTCCTATGCATCTTCGATTATGGTCATGTGGTGGTGATTCAATAGAAACTTTAGGCCAGGGGTCCCCAACCCCTGGGCTGCGGCCCATTGGGAACCGGGCAGTGCAAGTGGCGGGCGAGCACACAAAGCTCCATTTGCACAAGCGGCAGGTATGTGCATGAAACTATCCCCTCTCCCCCCTGCTGCCACCACCACCACCGCTACTGGTCTGCAGAGCTGAAAAGGTTGGGGACCGTTGCTTTAGACCATACAGTACGTTATTATACTGTTCCTTACATAAGGACTCTAGACAGACCCTTATGTATCCTGTCTTGAAGAAATTTTCATGTAGGGAGTAGGATTTCTATTTAATGCTACTATTCTCAGACAAGGATTTGAAAATAACCTCTCAAGTTGCCCAGTTCTGTACTACCATTTGTACAATATGCCGTACCATTACTTAAGATTGGAACTTCTTATAAAAGTATTTTATTTGGATTTATTTCAGTAACTTTGTTGTTAATTATTTTTAGATTCCATTATACTTGTTTTTCTCTTATACACATATACATATACTGTATATAGAAGGACTTAATATTTCTTTTATTCAATATTTAGTTTGTATCTGGCCTTAGGGCTATAAAATCTGAATATGAATTGTGAAGGACATACTCCAAAAGTATACTGAGTCAGGACACCTGTGGGGAAGGCATTGAAGGAGTAAAGGGGTGGAGGCCTAGCATAAGCCCAGACCCACCTGCCCTGGCCCTTCCAAGGCCTCCGCCCCGAGACTCCCCATGCTCCAATTCCCAGCCCTTGGATCCCCACAGGTCTTTTCCCACTCCCACGGGGTCCCCCCAGGCCTTAGGACTGATTCCCACCCCACCAGGCAAAATACCCTCCTCCTCACTTACCTTTTGAAGAGCTTCAAGGTCTTCCAGAGTGCTAGAATGGATTGCTTCATCACATGGCCATGTGGTGTGATTCTGGAAGCAGCGGTGATATTTACAGCTACCTGAATGCAAATCAGCTGCTGGAAACATAGGAGCTGCTTCTGGAATCATGCCATGCGGCCATGGGACAAACTACTCTATTTTGCTGCCTTAACGCTGTTTGCACAGGGCTGCATAAGCTTTCAGAAGCTTTCTGCAGTGCTGTGCAACCTCATTAATGCACCAAAACTGAGCAGTTTGTCTCACAGCCATCTTGTCTCGGCTCAGGGACAAACTGCTCTATTTTGCTGCCTTAATGAGGTCTGCACAGCACTGCAGAAAGCTTCTGTAGTGCCTTGAGGACTGTGTTAAGGCAGCAAAATGGAGTGGTTTGATCCATGGCCATATTGTCCTGCCCCCAAGTGGGTGGGACAAAATATTGGCCACTTATGAGTCGTCACTGTGCAGCCTAGGGTCGCGTGGCCTGCCCTTCGTCTGCAACATGAGGTCCAGAGATCTTCAAAAGGTAAGTGTGGGATGGGTGGCAGGTGTGTGGGGCACAGACCCAAGTGCTACAGGGTCTCAGCAGGGCGGGATGGGGGGGGCGAGAGGCGGGGGGCAGGGGGTGCTGCAGCATCCCTGCGGTTGGTCCTAAGGGCGAATGACCACAGGGGCACTGCAGCGGCCATAACTTTGAAATGGGGACGTATTTAGCTTTTGGAGGGGGGGTCTGTCGTAACTTCAAATGGCCATTAAGTAACTAGTCATATCTCAAGGACTACCTTTACAAGACTATACAACCTCATTTCTCTCCATGAGTAGCAGTAACCAATTGGGGATTTGAGGACTTGGCAGAAATAGCTTTGCAATGCTTGCCACTATGAACATTTGCCACGCTACAGTATGTCCTTCTCATAAACCACACTGTTTATTGGGTTGGTGGGAGTAGATTTAAATGAGGAGGTTTAGGAGAATTCTCACCATTGGTGTCCCCATATAGCAAAGTGCTTGTCAGAGTGACATAAGCAGCATTGTAATGCAAGCGTTATCCCTTTTCTGAATGCATCAAGAAAGGGGTGGCACTCAGCATAATGCTGTGAGACTGCTTTCATTATTCTGATGAAAGCAGCAAGACCGCAAGAACACTACTGGCTCTTTTCAAATATCATTCTTCTTATTTGATTCAATTATCCCATCCCCTGTTCAGGTGATTGATGAACTCCTCACCCTCTTCTAACACCAAATAACTGGGCAGTGGTATGACAGCAACCTCTGACTTAAAGTAGATGACGAAGATACAAACAGAATATTTATGTTGAGAGATTAAGTACTCTTTCAACTATAAAAACTAAGACACTTTGATAGCAGAGCTTTTCCCTCACTTACTTCTGTGTGTACATGTTGTAGTGAGGAGCAGGGCAAACAGCTGGTGATGATGCTTGTTTCATGTAGGTAGTCCTTCCACTGGCAGAATCTCCTGATGGTGCAGCAAACCTACAACAGATGGAGCAGAAATAGAGATTTTTACCTGACACCAGTGGACTCCTCAGTGGTAAGCAGAACATTAACTATTTGGAAATGATTTTGTGGAAAGCAGAAATATACATTTAAGATTTCTTCCATGATAAAAACATTCACATTCTCCCTGGTCTGAAAAGAATCAGAAAGCAGAGATAGAAGTACACAGAGCATCCAAACTCTTTTTGTTAGAGGGTGCAAATCATCAAGTTATAAAACCTTAACCTTATCAACTTTTTCTCATTCCTATCTCTTCTCTCTGGGCTGAAGGTAGCAAAATGGAAACCTGATTCATGTTGCTTGCTTAAAGTTTTTAAAAGAACAAGTCCTTTTGGGAGGTGCAATATCTAAAGCTGAAGATGTGGGTGCTAGCGCAACTATTCCACTCCTAGCTGAATAGAACTCTGAAAAGAGAGCTGGGAAAAAAGGAACTCCAACTGAAAGTAAATAGCTACTGAAAGTAAATAGCTATCACTTCTTCCTTATTTCTGTGTCCCTTTAAAAACTCAAAATGCACATTCTCAACCCACAGTACTTACTCTGGCACAACTTGCTTGATCTGTGGCTTTACATATCCATCCACAGCCTTTGCTGCAAAACAAGGAGGTGGGTGGTTAAGTTACTGTACAAGACAAACTTTACATAGGAATCCCTACTGAAAATAGTAGTAGTCTGGTATTCTTTTTCTTCTCATTACATTCATACTGAAACCCTTCCCAAGTAGGAATGGATGAATCTCTTTATTTCTGGTTTACTGTATGTCTGTTTTGCATGTTCATGTCCATTCCCTTTCCTTGTTGGTCTGCAAATCTTTCCTTGAGAAAAATCCATGTAAAACAGACATGTCAAACTCGCAACGTCACATGACATCGTGCAACATATTGGAGCTTTTTCTCCATTGCCGGCAATGGGGTGGGCACGGCTTCCGGATGACGCGTCCGGCCCGCGAGCTGGCAGTTTGACACCCCTGATGTAGAAGATCTGCATATAAATAAATTTTGAAATTGCTCAAAATAAATAAGTAAATTAAAAACACATTTTATCCTCCTCAGCTATTCATCTGTGAAAGTAGTCACTGACCTGGTCATTAAAGAGAACCTTTCCTGCATCACCAAAAACAAAAACTGGTCATGAAAAATGTCTTGTCTTACTTTAACTAATTGCCTTTATCACTAACTCCATCTTTTTCAGATATACGCAGTTGAAATCAAGCTGTATCACTGCATTCTCCCTTTGTATTAGCATGTACCTCTCTTCTTAAGAGTGCAGTTTTAAACATTTTCTGGAAGTTTCCTGTAATACTAGGCATGTCACTATGTATCTGAAATTATGTATAGCATTGTAATACAGTTTATATGGCCAAAGGAAAAAGGATTTGGAATTGCCTAGGTTCCTCTGCTGGAAATGAAAGAATTATATATATATGTATCCATTCACAATGACCAGAAAAATTCAGGCAGTTTCATGCAATCTTACCAAGGACTGGCATGTAATATTTGGAGAAAACCTCTTCCTTGGGTCTGTCAGGATACACATAAAGGAGGTATGGGAGGTCACCAAGGCGGTCTGCCAGGGAGCGGATGCAGAAATCACGGGTGGTGAAGGGCATTAAGTTCCAGAACATTCTGTCAGCTGCAAAAACCCCAGATCATAATTAGATAAAAGTGGGGAAAAATAGTACCTTTATAATCCAACCAGAAAAAGATATACAGTCTTTTCTTATACAGAAAGATAAGAAACCTGCAACAACTATTAAAATCACTAATGCAGTATACCGTATTTTTCGCTCTATAAGACGCACTTTTCCCACCCAAAAGATGGGGGAAAATGTCTGTGCGTCTTATGAAGCGAATGCCACCTGGAGCTGAAGCCTGAGTGCAGGGGAGGAGAGCATATACTGGCCGGGAAGCAAGGAGAGCTTGTGCGGCATGGAGGAGGAAAGGCTGCAGCCATTTTTTTTACCCTTTTCCTTAGCTGTGCTACTCCCTCTGCTTGGCGGCAGCCTGCATGCAGGAACTTTACCAAATGTGCCCTGCAGGAGGCGTGTGAAGAGCGCAGGTGCAGAGCAAGGCCCAGCCCTCCCCAGGAACTCATTTCAGATTTACGCCGCAAAAGTTTTTCTCGCACAGAGAGGAAAAACAATTGCAGAACACTCGGGAATCCCTTGCAAGGCACCAGGTACCTTGGTGCTTATTTCCTAATGCCTTCCTCCCCCCCCCCCC